AAAGAGCATGCATTCAGTATAGCGCCCATGGCCGCAAAATGGACATATAGTGTCCGGATGCGGAGGGTGCCTGCAGTCAGGAACGGTGGGACAATCCTCTGCACACATGGATGCAGAAACCATGACATTGTAGTGATTGTGACAGAGACGATGGCGGCTACATCCGAGTGTAACAGTGTTTGTGGTTGTGCAAAGGAGAAGGTCGCAAAGTGTTGGTACATTGTCTTGCTGCAGCACGGGGCCCGAGGAACGATTTTCGACATAAAAGAGATTGCAGACGGTTTGTTGTGGCAAGAAAACAACATCATTTTGTAAGAAATCAGTGACATCAATCATGGCATGGACCATGGTGCCGTTGTCCCACAGCTCCCAGTGGTCAGAGGCATGTACAATGGCCATGTAATGGCCAGGGCCGTGCACAATGTAGGCAGAGATGTGGGATAGAGGATTAAACCACTCACCTGCTCGAGCATTGCGTAGTTCAAGTTGACGGTCCCTCGTTGCTATTTGTAGGACAACAATGGTAAATCCTCCTTCGCTGGTATAATTACAATCCTCTGGCTGTCGTTGGGGAAGATCGGCATCAAGCTGAAGGGCGATTGCAAGGAAGTCTCATGGTGTATAAAACGGGCGATGGAGAATGTGAAGACAGATATTAGTTGTTGTCAGACCACATAGATTGGTGAGGTTCTCAGGCTGGTTTGTTGGATGCTGGCCAACAATTTGCAGATCACCCAGATGGTGTTGCAAGCCCAAACTTTGTTGGGTTATTTGCTGGTGAGTCATTTGCAGATCACCCATGTGGTCTGCGTGTGGCGGAGCACAAAATTGTGGTTCATCCGAACAATGCTGGTCAGCCATTTGCAGATCCCCCATGTGGTCTACGCCTTGTGGGGTCAACTGCAATCCGGGCAGATCATGTTCCAATCCCTCAACGTTTAAGGCTGCATCCTGAGGAGGGACTGTACCTGAAGTCGGGAGTGTACTCTGGGCAGCGGCTGCATTCTGAGTAGGGACTGGTGGCTGCCTGCAGGCAGCTGGACTGTTTGCATGAGGCATAGGAGCGGATATTGCCATTTGAAACAAAGGAAACGCAACAACCTGTGGAGGAGGCACAAAGCGAATCGGGGCAGACAAAAAAAACAGGTTACTGATCCCCGGATAAGTGACGATGTCGCGGATGTCGTCGGTGATAGACAATAAGAGGAGTAGTGGTGTTGCAAACAGAAGCTGAACTTGTACCTAGCAACGCAGGTGGAACAATGAGAACAATGGAAACTGGAGAGTCTGTTCGCAAGCGAGACCGTGGAGGAGATGGGGGTGGTGAGGAGGAACGCTGTCGTCTACGGCCAAGCACAGACAAAGATGAGGGGGGGTGCATTGGGCAAGATTTCGGAGCAAAGGACGTGAGCGTCGAAGAGATTGTGATGTTCTTTGCATATATATCG